GAACAAGAAATACAGGTTTATTCTTGCCTTGTGTTTCTAGCTATAAAATAAATAAAAAATAATGTCATTTTGCAAAACAGTATGATACATAACAATATATTTAAATTTTTCACACCAGCATAGGTATTTCTCCATGCTTTGTTTTATAACCACTGTATTATACTTTCCCAATTTTGTTAGGAAGTCACCTAGAAAAGGCAAAATTTACTTCACACTTTTTTGAAAAGTAAAACTGGAGTTTTATGTCTGGCAGCTTGTGTTGTTTAGTTCAACTGATTTTTTTCTTGGTTCAGTGGAAATCTGAATACAGTGTCAGAACTGGGTCTTGACTAATCTCATTTTGACCTGGCCTTTTAAAAGCACTGTACTTGTCACCATATTCAGTTTCCTCTTCCCCCTGGGTGAAAAAAGGTCTTCTCTGTCCTGCAGGACACCTGCAGGCTTGTTCAAAGAGCAATTATTTTTAAAGCACGTGGTTTATCTAAGGGGCAGTTTCTCCTTGTGAAAATACAATATTATCTTCCTTCACGGTCTAAGAAATAGTTTACTCTTGGAATTTCCAGGTGCTGGTGCTTTTGTGTAAGGAAACACAGGTTTTTTTGGAATGGGAGAATTCCAAGTGGCTGATGGTGATTCCTGGCAGCTGTAGTGATCTAGCTGAGAATCACCTGTACTGTCAGGAGTATCAGAAGATTAGAGATGATGAGAAAGTCCTTGTCCCTGATGACTTTAGGTAAACTGTGATAATACTGAAGAACCTAAACTAGGGAAAATTTCTGAGAGTTAAATTCATCTTTTCTTTGACTGATTTTGCAAAGCTACAGAACAATTTCACTGGAAGTCTTCATGTTGCCCTTAGGGGTCAATAAGTAATGTTCAGGTGTTTTCAGTAAAGCTTCTTACATATTTAAATGAAAATATATATAAGCTGGAAGAAGACAATTGCTGAGAAACTAAGGATCCAACATTTCATTCAATTAAATGTTTTAATCTTAATATAACATTAATTAAAACACCTTGTTTGAGTCACTCTACCTCATAAGATTTCTTGGTGTAGTTTTAATCAGATGATTGCATTGTATAAATAGGCAAATATATCACATTAGCAGTGTGTAACATCCAGGCTATTTAAGCCACAAATATGTTGTCCATCTATAGCATATTAATTATCATCAGCACATTTAGATTTTCCTTTCTTATGCAGAGAAAGAATAAGTGAATATAATGTAGAATTATTTTTATGTGCAAACTTTATTCATGTTCTACTTGAATCAGTTTGATAACACTCTAAATTTGGGCAATATTGTGCATTTAATTTCTATGTAGTTGTTTTGCTCTATGATGTTGGGCAGGACAGAAATATTAGGTACCTTGCTTGCCTTTAGTTGATTTGAAAAGCACTTTGAAGCCTAGAGGGGGATATGTCATATTAAGTCTCCCTAATAATTTTATGAACAGCTAATTTGCGTTAATAGCAATATATATAATCAATCAGCAAAGACAGGGAGCAGAACAGGATGTTAATAGCCAAACCTGATAATCAGCTGGAAAAAGCAGAACAGTATGCTTGCCATAGAATTAATACAATTCCTATAAGCTCCATGATTTTTTTTCAGTAGACTTCGGGAGTCAGGCCAAGCAAACAGCTCATAATATTTTTTAAGAGTTGTTAAACCTTCTCCCTCTAATGATTTGTTTGCCAGAGTGTAGCAGGTGTTCATAGATGAGAGACATATACTTCTGATTCCTTTGCTGTGCAGCTTCTCTGGCCTTTATTACCTGTTTGTTGTTGATTTAGCATAACATATTTACAGTAATAAAGATGCTAATCTTCTGTTTTCTGCATTTTTACCTTGTGCCTAATTTAATAAATTCTGTAGCTCTTTGTTTAGATAATTTTACCTCATCTAGATGGTCTGTCTTATACTTCAGGTTCTTAAATGCATTTGCTTCGCACTAGTTCCCAACGCAGGTGGTGATTCAGCTCAAGAAATAGAGATTGATTATTCATGAAGAATAAGCTTCCTTGCTGTAGTTCTGAAGCTGGGATCACTTACATATTGTAGGCATAATTGGTCATTCTTTATTTGCTCTGTTAAGAGCTACTTAGACATTTTAATCCATGTGCAAAAACTGGAAATATTTTAAGTTCAGCTGAAGTCACATAAAGAAAAGAAGGTAACCAGAACTAACTGACAGGTCCATGTCTCTAGGTGGAAGGTGAACTATCAAAGTGGCCAATAAATTATTATTTTTTTTTTTATTGTAGGCTTTATTTTATAGCAGGATCTTAACAGCGTAGCAGAAGACACCTATGAAGCCTTAGTTCTAATTAGTGGTAGAATAAGGTCTGCAATGAAGCAACACTTGATTATACTTTAGATGTGTCAGATCTATTTTACAACATTAACCCAAATTAAATGTATTTAACGGGCCATATGGTACTCTTCATTTTCTCGAATTTGTAATATAAACCTGTAACATGACACTAGAACCCAAAATGAACTCCAGAGAAATAAAATTATTCAATTATGAATAGCATGTGCATCCTTACACTGACATGAAGCACTCCTTGATTACTGGCTAACCAGTGGCTTGATTGGAGCTCAGCCTGAGCAGCTGAGTGCTCTAAATGTGCTGCGATGTGTTTTTACTGTAAGGCTCACTAGGTGAAAAAAGTTTGGCTACACTACAACAGTAATTCAGCTGCATGGAGCTGATAATTTCTTTAAGATGCATTCTTGAAGATTTTTTAAAATTAATTTTATCACTTTTATTAATTGTAGGACATAATTATTCTCTAAGTCCATTAGCTTTGGGAAACATTTCATTTGTTTAATGAATGCAAAATACTATGAAGTTTGCAGTTGTTACCAAAGAGTTGAGGAATGCTGACGTCATAGAGTCTGCTTAACAGTTAAAACAAATTGGAGAAGAACGTTATCTTTCATGAAAAGTGTTCTCCCATATTAGTGCTGTGCTAAATATTTACTGTTGAACTAGTCATTATCAGGGGCTTGTGGGTCAGAACAGTGAAAGTGGAATAAAGCAGTTAAACTCTAAAAATGCAGTACTATTGAACTGAACATTGCTATCATAAAAGTAGAAACCCTGTGCCATCAAGGATGGCGATTTAAACCCCAAATATCTCATAGTCATTTTAATCAATCATTTTAATCAATTCTGTAAAAAATTCATATGTGAAATTTGATAGATAAAAAATACTGCACTGATGCTGTAATGAGGGAAAAAAGTAACAGATGCTTTTTGAATAATCAAATTATTCAAATATTGATTTGAAATTGAATGTGCTAATGTGTTTTCTGAGGGGCAGAATGCTGGCTACATGTCAGACTTGGATTTCTGAAAAGGAAGACATCTCTTGCTTCTGTTCCTGGTAGGCTCTCAGAAATGGGGGTTGGTGTATGTCCAGAATTAACCATCAGAAGCTGTATTTCACATCATTCAGTCAGATTTTTAGCATTAAAGGAAGAAAAGGCTACTCATCATTTATGAAACTTGACCGGCTGTGTTGGGCAGTATGAGGAAGTGGGGAGAGACTAGTCCAAGCTGCACTATAGTACATTAAACACTTAAAATTCCTGAAAGGAGCAATGGATATTATATTCATTTATACACATAAAATTATAAGCATGTCTTTTTGGGTGGATGGGTCCTATGCAGTGGTTTTGAGTGGGAAAGATTGTAGAAGATACAAGTGTGGTTGTTCAAAAACGTCTTTTGAAATGAGTTTATGGTTTGGGCTTCTGCTGTTTCTGTTGTGACTTTTTGGATGGACTTTGCACAACTGTGGATTGATGTAAGAATGGCAGGAGCAGAAATGTTTAACAGATAAAAAGGAAGTGATATAACCATCTTTCAAAAATTCCTATGACATAGAAGGTATTTCTTGAAGTTATTTTAAAACAATTTTCTGTGAGAGTCTGCAGCCCTTACTTAGACTGGGTAATATGCAATTGCATTCTTCACAGCACTGAAATGAAACTGTGAAGCAATAATTATGCTAATTTTAAAATGGAAATATACCAAGATTTGTCTCTGTCTAACTCTTAAAACATTTTCTTGATAACCTCAGGACTTTAATATACAGAATTTGCTGTACTAGTGTTAAAGGAGAACTAATCTTACACTGTTCTGGTAGCAAGTAAGTAATTTAGTAGGTAGATGTAAGGACGTTGTTATACTGTATAAACTGTTACTTAAATGCAAATAATCCCAGTCCTTCAACTTCCCAACATTCTCAAAAAGCTAACAAGCTAAGTAGCTTATTTGCTATAATAGATGTTGAAAGCCTTTGTGCCTACTGTTCATTAAGTGTTTAATTACCTCTTATGTTTGAAAGCTACACTAGGATCTAGCACTCAGTCTGGGGCTTGATTTCCAGTTCTCATCTTAAATTTATTACAGTTCTCTTGCTAAGATTTCGCCATTAACTACTTAATGAGAAAGAAATACAAAGATGTCGCTGGCAAGAATTGTTTTAAGCAACTTACCCAGAAAATGTGTACTATGTATCTTTAGCCATTTAATTATGTTTTTCTCTTAAGTCCCACTCTGCAATTGCATCAAATTCTTTACCTTGTCAGCCTTTCATAGACCCTTGATACCTTGAATATGATCATCTCCTTCAGCTTTTTGTTGCAGCACAACATGCTGTTTAACTGAATGAGGAACTGATTCCGTAGTAGCCATTAAAGACCTCAAAATATTTTTCCAAATGGGACCATGATGACCTCAAATATTCTGGCCAGTATGGGACATTGCCTGTGCCTTGCTGCTTCTCTTGCCTCTCCTAACATTTCAGTTAAATTTGACTTCCTTTGTCCTCTGAAAGACTCAACCATGTTGCAGCAAACTTCATTCTCTGCTGCATTCACGATGCTTCAACCCAAAGAATGCCATGTAAATGAGATACTGCTACAAGTCATCACGGGTCTGGTTGCAGATAAGTAGAACTTTGATTTGTGTTTGTTTTTCAGAGCCAGAGCTTCAGCTGTTTGGAAAAGACTAGATGCCCAGGATCTAATGTGAGTTCTGTGCAGATACAGGGAGATTCAGACTATTTCATCAACCATCTCGGAGTACCTGCCACGCAGTTTTCTTACGAGGACATCAAAACTTCAGAGGTAGCTATGAATAAAAATGGACAAACTAAAAGTAACAGAGAGATAGAGTTCTATTTTCTGAGGTTATATCCCCACATGACAAGCATGTTGCAGTGGAAAGTTATCTCCTGTAAGTGTGTTTTTTTAGGTCTCCAGGGGATTAACACAGAGCTTCAAAGGGACTGGTTTTATAGGAATATGGCATTCAAAGAAACAGATAAAAATCGGAGGACGTTATGTTACAAATGTTAATAATTCTGAAAGTTTTTTAGGTTACATATTAGCTAACCCACCTTTTCAGACTGTTCTCAACATAGAGGAAATGAGCATTGCTGTGTATTTTTTTACTGCACAGTAGGATGATACTTGAAAATAAATTTTATATCCATTCTCATACTGTGAGCAAAATATGATTCTCTAGTATAAATGTTGGTGGTAAAGATCTGTGTGCTTGATTGGAGTCCTCAAAACACCATGTTCTTTTTCAGTCCATCAGCCTCTGCAAGGTAAGTGGAAGGAAGAGGCATTTTACACTGTTTGGGAACTGGGTGGGAATTGGACACAAAGTTAGGAAAGTTCATCCTTCCTCAGCCTTCACTACTGCAGCTTATTTGCACCTGGACAACTCAAATGGTCTCTCAGTTGGTCAGCTGAGGATCAGGAAACCTGGTATTAGTTATTCCAGGATAAAGTATTATATAAAGCATGAGGAAAGGTGTGTGTTTTCTTGGAAATGTAATGGTGCATTGACTTCATATTCTCCTCATTTCTCTTTTTGCACTGTGCTCATCTCCATATGTGCACATCCTTCAGGAATGTTCAGGAACAAAGCTGAAGCTGGGTTGAACTGGAATGCTTCCTGACACTGCATGCTAATGTTTCTCTTTCACAGATGCAAAACAAAGCAGAGATGTGCCAAATACGGAGCATTGCTGTCGTGTTGTTGTGTAAATTGAAATAGATTAAGTCAAGAATTTATATAAATAAGGAGACTTCTGTGTTCTAAACTTCATGGCACCTATTAGACAAAGTTTTCTGTTTGAGATTAAACATTAGGCAAAGGCTGTAAGGAAAATGTGAAGGCAGAAGACATATGAGTGCAATGTTTATGACAGGCTTTTGGTCCAGAGTGAATTTTTGTTGTCACTTAGCAGCTACTCCACGTAGTTTTCATTCAGGATCTGGGTATATAGGATCTATAGTGCATGAGAAAGAATCTGCAAACTTCAGTATATCAAAATAGTATTTCCCAGCAATATTTGTAATATGAACACTGAAGGTTCCCTTGGCTATTGTCGACTTTAATCCACAGTTACTCTTCATGTTCAGTTAACCTTGTAAATACGCATTTTTGGCCTCTCAGAATGACTCAGCAATGTAATTAAAATCATAAAAGGAAGTGTTTCTATAGTTGCTTAAACATGACACTGTAAATTTGGTTCTTTGCTAAAAACTCATCTTTTGTCCTTGCAAAATCATCTCCTAGAAATAAATGTAGTAAGTGTAATCTGCAGTCCTGAAGTAGATGTGTTACACTTCTCAGGCCATAGGAGACCTTGACCCCATGAGATCTATTTGATGTGAGAAATAAATCTGCTTGGCAAAATGTGTAAATTTCTCTTGGCAAGAGGGTGGACCTTTTTTTTTAAAAGTGAAGTTACTCAGAATGATTAAATTTGGATTATTTGCTATATTCTTGTTGTTTATTGTACTGATTATTAATAGTCCTTCAGAAGATAGGTTTGTTGTCTTTCCTGTGTTCTATCAGACAAGCAATCTTGTTTATTCTTTAGGGCTTATTGCAATTGTTTATTGTGGATTCTGTTAATTGTATCAAACAGAGATATTATAAGGCAGACAAATTATTCTGTTTACAGCCATATTAATAAACATTGTTAGGAATTTCTGTTATGCAGGTTAGTTACTGATAATAATCTGTTGGTTTGCAGGGAGGGATTTTGTTTGTTTGTTTCAAAGCCATTCAGGTTTTTTTAAACTATACCTCAGCTTTGTCAGCTTCATTGCAAAACAAGATTTGGGAGAGCAGATTTCAGAAAGGGGCTGTTTTGACATGCTTTTGTAGACTATCATTTTGCCAGGTTGGTTTCCTTTGCTCTCTCTTTCGGTGCTGTGACCTGCTCAGGAATTGCTCTTCCTTTGGAATATACATTAGTTGTTTATCTTACCCACCTGTCAGCCGGCATGCAGTGTCACATAAAACTGATGCTATCCCACAGTCGAAAAAAACCTTTTTTTAGAGTAAAAAAGCCCAAGACCTGTGCTTGGATCCTGCCTACAGAGCAACAGCTACAGGTCAGCTTTAGAAATGCATTTCTTACCCAGTCAGTGCAGTGCCGGTCCGCAGAGAGAAGGTTATAAAAGCCTTTCATTGACAGGAACCTGAGGAGTAAATAAGAGGAAATAAAAGTTGTAACAGGAAACATTCAGGCCAGAAGAGTAAGTAAAACTGTCTGCCTTGAAATTGCATAATACAGTGACCCACAGCCTTAGGGAGGTTAAATCTGCTTGGCAAATGCCCGTGGTCAGATCTGTGAGCCAGTAAAGTGCATTCTGAGAATTCAACCACCGCTATAAAAATGCACTGGGTGAAATGCAGCTCGTTTATTCGCTAGCAGGAAGTACACAGCATTTTAGTTTCAAAGTAAGTAAACTTGGAAGAATTTCTCAAGTGGAAAAAAGCTATAATATTCCACCAGTTTCCAAGGATTCTCTTGCAGTTGCTGAGGAGAACCTTCCTCTCCTCATGTATGGTGCACTGGCTTTTAATCCATGTGAGGGTTGCATTCTGATTTGTAATGTTTTAGGAGAAAGGCTGATCAGATTTTCCTAATGCTCCTGATTCTCTTACTTTCAGGAGGAGTCATGTTATTAAAGATAATGTTTCATTTGCATCCAAGTGACTATGTAGAGCCTCCAGAGAGAGGCATAATGTTGACTTCAGATCAGAGTTGCTATTACTGAAGACCATGATTCTATTAGTCTTCACCTCAGCAGTGTTAGTAACATATTCACTTGGCTTTACATCAACAAGGAAGAACAACATAAACTAAAAGAGATGTTAGATCACAGTCTTGTCTTAGTTACTCTCTGTACTGCAATAAAAGATGGATATTAATCAAATTAATCATATTAGCATTGATACATCTGTAATTACATACTTGGAGCAAGTGAGTAAATTCTGGGTTTTTTTTTCTCTGTATAGGTTGTTACTGTGCTCTTGAATGTTTGTATGACAAATGTATTTTCAAACCTAAAAATGGTTTAGCAAGTATAATACACACATGTCCTCAATAATGACAGAAAATATATGCATATAATAGACAAAAGTGTGGGTTTGGACAGATCATTGCTCATCACAACTCTGCTTAGAGTCTTAGATATAAATTCTTTACCTGTGGTGTTTCAATTTTGTAAACAAAAGGTGTTATTTACGTGACTAAAGCTCAGCTCTTGGTTATGTGACTGTAAATTAGGAATAACTCTGAAAACACTGGATATGGTGGTGTATGATCTGAAGAACATGTGTTCAGTTTCCATTTGAATTCATCATAGTTATTTTTTAATGGATATACATGGATTGTCTGCCTGTATATTAGAAAATACTGCTCTATCATCTATAGCTTACCTTGTTTCTCTTCCCTCACACATCTTTTTTTATCCTTCTCTGATGCTTTTTGACATTTTTTGAATTTGCATGTTAGTGGAAATTCTAGTATTAAATGGTTTATTTCAGTTGTGAGAGTGATAACTGTTTTCTTCCATATGAAGTAACATTCACTGCAGACTAAACTCTGCTCTTGGGAATGATCGAGACAATACAATAAAAAAGGGCATTTAAAATTATCAAAACTTTACAGCAATAAAAGTTTCATTAGTCAGGTCTGTGGCTGTGGCAACAGAAAGTGTTTTTAGTCACTTGCTAACTCACATGAAATTTCTTATATATGGAGACATGAGTGAAAAAGAAACGTGAATCCATGTCTTAAAATGTTGCTTGGCATAAATCCTTCATTTAATTTTTACACTGCATTTATTATATAAAAACAGCATGGTCTTGAAAATTTGGTGTTGTTTCCTGTCTCTAGCTAAAGTTTCATATAGTTTTATCTGCTGGAGAGACTCAGTACTTCAGAAGTTTATCCGTAACTCCTCCTGACACTGCTTCTGTTTCTCTTATTTCTCTCCCTTATTTATTTAAGCTTTGCCTTGTTTGGTTTTAGGATTTTTTTATATAAGCATCATCTCTATAATTTTTGTCTCTCCAGTGGAGCACCTTAAAAATGTGGTTTGCTCTGCTGGATTCAGCATTCTGATGGCCACACTCACCTTTTCTCTTTCATGAAAAGGGGCCGAGAAAAGTAGCTTTTAAAACATCTATATTTGGAAGTATATTGTGGGCTTTTTCCCTAATGAGAAAACAACCAAGCCCCTTGTTGAAAGTTAATTTATTTTGATTGTTTCTTTCACAGCACTGTTTATAGCATAGCTGCTGAAATCCTGGAGCATAAGTACATCACAGAGACTGAGAAAAACAGCCTTGCTGTGGCTGCCTAGTGTTTGGGTACAAGTGAAAATATAAACTGGGTTTTCCATGGTTTCAGTTGGAGATTTGATAGTTTCTTCATCATTGTAAGTCAAATAACATTGAACTGTTTAGTGTTTTGAGGCTGATTCAATCACTAGCAAACTTAAGCTGGTACAGGTGTATTTTGAGCTGAATCTTATTACCCGTTTCTGTGTCATTGCAGTCAACAGTTTCCTGAGCAATCAGGGTTTTTTAAATATAGCTAGATGATTTCTTATGGTATCTGCATATAATTCATCCTTCTCAGTGCATCCTATTACGTAATGATTCCTATCTGACAACACAGAATCTTAAATCCCCTCTGTGATATTGTGGTAGGTTATATCAACGTTAGCATTATCATTTTGTTGTGAACAAAACCAATTACTGCACATGGACATTGCTAAAAAAAAACCTTTTTTTTTTTCTGTTGTTT